GCGGGGGGGGGGGGGCCGCCGGGGGCCCCGGCTTGCCGGCCCCCCGTCCCCCCCCCCCAAAAAGGCCTCCCGCCCTCCCCGGGGCTGCAGGGGCGTCCCACCGCCGCTCCGCCCCCGCCCGGCCCGGCTCCATCTGTGTGTAGTACAGCCCTGTGTGTGTATTTGTGTGTGTGTGTGTATTTGTGTGTGTGTGTGTGTACCGGCGGAGGTCCCCAGGCCGCTGGCCGGGGGTGTCCCCCGGGCCGCTGGCGACTTGCCCGCCCGGTTTGCGCCGGCCCGCTGGCTCCCCGGCCTTCCTTTTCCTTCTTCCTGAAGTTTTGGTTTTTGTTGGGTTAGTGTTTTTTGTTTTGTGTGTGTGTGTGTGTGTTTTTAACGCCAAACGCGCAAAATCTCTTCCGAGCGCTACTCGCCCGCCCGCTCCGGGGCTGTTTTTAACCCGGGGGTCTCCTCATCCCGCCCGCCCTTTCCTCCCTCTCCTTCCCTCTCTTTCTCGCCGCTGCTGGGAGCTCGTCGCAATCCGAGGTTCCTTCTCCTTCAATCTCTGCCGGAGCTCCAGGTTCGGGAGGGCTCGCTCGGCCACCGAGGGTTGTGCCAAGCCCCGCAGAGTCAGGGTTTCCCAAATAAGGCAGGCAAGCGGCGCGATGCTCCCTTTGAAATCCATCTAGGTAGCCCTGGCGGGGCTCCTGGGGAGCCTGGCTGCGGTGGGACACGCTGGAGTTAAAGCTGAGTAGGCCTTTTAAGGAGTCGGTAGCACAAAAGAGGATGATGAATGATTCTCCTTTTAGGAAGGAGCTTGAGTGGGTAAGCTGGTAATTACAGTTCATAAACTCTTCCCCGCTGTCTGCCCTGCGATGAGGGGAGCGGAGCTGGGCAGCTATTTCTCGCTTTGGTACAGCCATTGTAGCGATCAAACTAGGAGCTTTCTTTTTAAAACAGAAGGAACTCCCAGGAGGTAACTTAAAAAACTCCAGCAAAGCTCCTTGTGCTCTTTTCTGAGTGACAGGAGGCTAAAAATTAATGTGTCTTCCCAGTGCAGTCTTGGAAAAAGAAAAAAAAAGAAAAGCCTTTCTTACTTAGATAACAGAAAAAAATCTGACCTTTGAAACATCAAAGTTGGCATCTAGGTTTGCCATAATGAGCCATACATCTCTGTTAAGACTGAAGAAAAATCACTGTTCTGAAAAAGCATGGTTACAAGCAATAGAAAATGGAGGTCAGCGTACGCACAGTAGAAAACGCTATTAAATTGTCAGCTGCAAACACCAAAGATGGATGCGTTTTACTTTTGAGAGCAGGTAGTTAAGGCAGCACAGCTATCTGCTTGCAGGAATTTAAGCGAAGGTGAAGATTGGAACTTTTCAGAACTGCAAGGCAAGGTAAAGTTTGGACCAGCTGAATCAAACTGAACTCCTTGTGCTAATATATAATTTTTTGGCTTTTTTTAAATGACAAAGTCCTTGCAGTATGAATGCAGTTTGCCCATTTGTAAGTTCTCTTGGTTTTCAAGCCCTTTGGAGCACATCTAAACATGTTTGTATCAGCATGAGAAGAACAAGCTACGCCAGTGTAAAGGGTCTCTGTAACTGTCCACAGCATAGATCATAATAACAGAAGATTTAAATCAAATTGCATGCCGAACTCAAACAGTTGCATAGTCTTTTAAAGAAGCAAAAAGGTAATGAGGCTTAGTGACTTAATAAATTGTGGAGGAGGATTTTCCAGGATTTGCTGGTAGATGGAAAAAGAGCAAGAAATGCAGATGACATCTGAGGAACTTGCCTTTCTGGCAGATGGTGATAGTAAAGTCAGGACAGGGTAGAAAGTCTAGGAGGGGGAACTAAGCTGAAGCTGCTTGTTGTGTTGTTGTGGAGTTTTTGTGCAGGCATGCCAATTCTTTCCTTGAAGACAATTTCTATTCTTATCACTTCCCACTTTTACTTGATAAATTAAGCCAAAATACACGTTTTTATTTGACAGCTCCACTGTTTGTTCTCTTTAGTAAGACGCTGTGAAGCAAATTGGAGTTCTGAACAGGCAGAAAAGATAACACAACAAGAGTTTTTGTAGCAATGGAGGTCAAAATATAGTGGCTGAGGCGATACAATGTTTCAGAGGGAAGTGTTTTTGATACATTTTGATACTTTTTTTCCCCAAACTGAATAGGGCCCTCAATGTAGTTGTTTGGTTTGATGGCTTTAGCTGGGCAGCACCGTGCAGGTTGCAGAAGGGCGAGGGAAGGCAGTGAGAGTGCGTTGGTGACAGCAGCTGCGTTCAGAGGGGCATCCAGCCCCCCTCGTGTCAAGGACACCATGTGTCCCACCACATGCATCTGAACGTTGAAAGATTTTGTCCGCAAATTCCCCCTGATACTAGAAGCCATCTAGTAGCTGTGGCTTCTGGTAACCGTGCAGAGGAATGAGTAAATTGAATGGATGCTTTATTTAACATATCAAGAAGGGAAAGGCTTCACGTGTCTCCACTATGAACAGCTTGACTGAAGAGCACCCACCCTCTGAGATTCAGTCATCATCCTGGTCTTCTGCTGGAGTTTCTTCTGGAAAACAGTTTATAGGTAGTTCCCCTGCCTTTCTGGATTTAATATTGCTCTTAGCAAAACGCTGCCACCGCATTTGCTACAGTCAAGTCATGTTCAGGATAGCAAGTACATTGGGTTCTTTTCATTGCAAGTCTGCTCTTTCTTCACCTCTGAAAGTCATGTACTAGTGATGAGAAGACTGGTAAAAATGGTCCCTTTAGCAGATACATTGCAGTAGAGAAAAAAGGTTGCCAAGGTCAATAGCATCTGTTGTCCTCCGAAATACTGAAGACTAAACTGTCCAAGGAGACAGTCCAATGGCTGCAAGATGTCTTCAGCACACGTGCACAGTTCCTATTGATTATGTTGGGGTGGAGAATAAGTGACATCAACTATATGGATTATGCATCAGCCTTACGTGCTGAAACACTTATTTATCCTCCTGATTTTACTCAGGAGTAGTGCTAACGAAGTAAAAAAAACCAAACAACTGGAACTGTAACACGAAACTTTAAATAATCTGAATGGCTTAAGTGACTTGGAAAATAAAAGCTTCAAAATAAGTCAAAAGCAAACACAGAGATAGGGTCCAGCATCTTCAGCCCTATTCCCTAAGTTGTGGGTGACCATGTAATTTATTCAGAATGACTTTATACCTGCTCCCTCAGCCTGTGCCCTCAGTGAGCTGGATCTCTTGTGGCTGCTCCCTTCCCAAGGTATCTTTGCAAGAGCAAGGAACATACTTTTCCACTTCTGGCCAGGATTTGCTTGTTCTATAATCTCATGTAGTTATGTTCTTGCTTTCAGTGTTCATGCCTTTAGATGATGTTAGCCTTTAAGCTACAGATGTGATTTTTTTTTTTTTTTTTTTTTCAAATGGATGGTTTTATTTTTAAAACTTCCAAGCACACAGTTTTGGTTTTTTTTCTCTTGGACTGGCAACGCAGGAAGGGTTTGGGTTCACTCTTTCCTTTTCTGGTGCAAATCCCACTGCCACATTGTGGGTAGTTTGGTAGGAGAGTTGTAACATTCACCTCCTGCGCAGAACAAATACCTCTATGTAGCTCAAAAAAGAAAAAGAGAATTTAT